GGAGAGTTCATGGCTCAGAAGGACTGTCCTTAATCATCGTGTGTGTGTGTGTGTGTGTGTGTGTGTGAGAGAGAGAGAGTGTGTGTGTGTGTGCGCGTGCGCACGCTCGCGCACGCCTTGTGTTCCCTGTGTTCCCATAAATGTTCCCTTAAAAAATAAATAAAAATAAAAACAAGACACTATAAAGCTCTGCTTTATCCTGAGGCTCAGAGCTTCTGGAAGAATGTCTTCAGGAAGTAGAGGAACTGGAGCCTGAGAACAGCACAGGTGTGGAGTTCCTTTCCATTAGTTCAGCCCAGCCTGCGGGGCTGCCCCAGGGACCTAAGGTGCCTCTCTCCCAGGACAGCCTGATGCCCAGGAGCGTTTTTCTGATTTAACCTCACTATGGCAGGGCTCCATGAAGCTGTAGGGAGTAGGCACATAGGTTCCATCTTTTCTGCCCTCAACAGAAGGAAGGGCTTTGGTTTTGTTAACCATAGATGTATGCCCAACCTCACGGTCCCATTTCAGTATGCGTTCTTTCACAGAGCACACAGTCTCTGGTCTCCCTTTCTTCTGTGAACCTGCTTTCTTTACTACCTTTCCTCATCAGTGAGCTAAGTGAGTCTCTGACACATGTGGGAGAACATACCACACATGCATGTACACATGTAAGAGGTTAGCGCTCAGAAACACCACAGCCTAAACCAGTGTTTTCAGGCCTGGCTGCTCACTGGAATCAGGAAGGAGCTGTCAAACAAACACTGGTTACTGAGTCCTGCCCAGTAGAGATTCCCAGTCACCCCCTCCCCTCCTTCTCCCTCTTCTGTTCCCCTCCTCCTCCTCCCTGTCCCCCTCCCCCTCCCCCTCTCTCCCCATCTCCCCCTCTCCTCCCCAGGTAATTCTAACAAAATTTACTGTCTAAACCAGTGTCCTCAAGGTTTGGGCATGTTAGAATGACCTGGGAACTTGTAAGAGTCCCATGCTCAGGCTGGGCCTCTGACCCCGGAGGTGACCTCTGTGTTTTGAAGTCTCCAGGGCAATTCCATGAAACCACAAAGCACTGGACTCTGCACTCTGGCTGGTGCCTGCCTGTGCTTTTCTCTGAGTACAGAATTGGAGGCTGGGTGAGAAGAGTCTTGTCCCTTGCGAATGGCTGCTGCCTAGTCCAGCTGCGTGTTCATGTGCTCCTGCCATTTCTATATTTTTCTGTGGTCTGGTCCATATTCTCTGGCCACAGTTTGGTACCGTATCCCAGCCCAAAGCGTCCACGGTCCTATAGCAGCAGCTCAGTGGACTCTCGCTAAGGAAGGAAGCATTCCTGGTGTGCAGTGAGCCGTGCCTTCTCTTTCCAGACAGAAGGCTTCAGAGTCACTGGGATCCTGTGCTCCTTTAGTTTAAAAACTTCCAACTTTAGAAGAATGATAAGAGCAAAACAAATACATTCATTCATTTAAACTCAGCAGTTATCAGGTTGGCACACTCGTGTGTGTGTGTGTGTGTGTGTGTGTGTGTGTGTGTGTGTGTGTGTGTGTTGCTAGGGAATTTGACTGTTTTGGTGAGCCTTATAAAAGTTAGTTGCACCGGGCGTTGGTGGCGCACGCCTTTAATCCCAGCACTCAGGAGGCAGAGGCAGGCAGATCTCTGTGAGTTCGAGGCCAGCCTGGTCTACAAAGTGAGTTCCAGGACAGCCTCCAAAGCCACAGAGAAACCCTGTCTTGAAAAACCAAAAAAAAAAAGTTAGTTGCAAACATAATGACATTTGATTCTAAAATCTGTTGTTTGTTTGAGACTGGGTCTCATGTAGCTCAGGCTAGCCTCAAGTTTAATATGTAGAGGAGGGTGACCCTGAAATGTTGATCCTCCTGGCGTTCCTCACCACCTCACCTGGCCTTAATTCTTAAATTCTTGCTGGTCCCTAAGCCCAAGGGCCTTCTTCCACACAACCACAACGGCCTTGTTACTTGCAGGAAATTTAGGATGGGCACAGCGTAATATCTAACATCAGCTGCTTTCATATTTCCCCAGATCTCTAGCTCCTAGTTCCGACCTCAGATCTAGGCCATAATCACACAGTATTTTCAGCTGCCATGCCTCTTTAGTGACCTTCACCTAGAATAATTCCTGAACCATTCCCCACCCTCCTTTGGACCAAGTGTTCTGAATGATGTCCTTCTAGAAGGGCCAGATTGCCTCCTCCTCTGAGCTGAGCAGAGAATATCATAGACAGCTATGTGACAGAGCTCGTAGCAGGGTGTCTGGTGGCTTATCTGAGGTACCCTAGGACAAGACCTTTGCAGACATGTGCCTGAGGCAGGTCCCAGCCTGGCACTACACTCTTCAGTCTGCTCCACTCCTGTACCCCAACAATGTACCTCTTAGGCTCCCCATCTAATTGCTCAGGTCAAAGGTCAGTTGTCATTAATCACCCCATCCTTGCTTTTTCCCTCCTCCTCCTCTTCCTCCCTCAGCTGCAACACTGCAGAGACCTTTGGGTTGGATATGTCTGGAGCCACCTGTGCCCTTTTCCTGACCCTTGCAGAGCCTATAGCTGTCTTCCAACACACATCTTACACTTTTCTATGACAAATCTTCCATACAAATGCCAGAATTGTCTTCTAAGCCCTTAAGTCGGGACCTGGAACTTGTCTAAGAGTTCAGAAGCAGGAGGCATAGCTCCACTCTGCCCATAGCAGCCTGAGGAGTTCCTTAATCTCTCAAGGGCCTCAGTTCAGGCCAAACTGGGATTTGTGGCTTTGACACAGAAACTAATTTCTAAGTGAGCCCTATGAAGCAGTGTTGATCTTTTTATTATAAGACGTTTTAATATAGATTTTTAGCTATGAGGATTACCAGGGGATGCTTAGAAATAGAGACAGGTGCACTGGAGGGGGGGTCTCTCTGAAACAGAGACTCTTACTTCATAGTCTTTATATAGTCATAGGTAGGACTTTGGTGGGATTTGAGACTATTATCTTCAAAAGGTTGCTAAGAAACCCAAGTGAGATCACAGGATGGCTCCTGATGGACCCCCGATGGGATTATAGTCAATGAGGTCACAGAGATACAAGGAGGTAGCAAAGTTAACAGCCTTAAGATCCCCAGAAAATATGAGGAAAGGAGGGAGAGCATGCTCATACGCATCCAGGCTTGATGTTAATTCAAGAGTCACTGATGTTAGCGTCAAAGGTCTATATACGCAAGGAATAGTGCCAACGTGCCAGCAGCTCCTCAGCAAATGTTAGTTGTGGTGGGATTCTCACCTCCTGATGGAGAGGTTTTAGCCAGGCTCCAGAGCAAGGGGCTCCTTCCCTTTGCCATGTCCTCAGAATGTTCCTTGCCTTTGCATCTCGCCTCGGAACTGTCTTGCTAAGACCTTCCCATGAGTCCTAGGCCAGACTCCCAACTCCTTACAAAGGAGGACCCTTCCACCTGCCTGGGAAATCAAACCAGATAATCATGCTGGAAAGGCTCCGTGCAACCTTACAGGGACACAGCAAGCATCCCCCTAAAGGATGTTGCCCTGGGATGCAGGTTTGCCTAGAGGAGCAAGCAGGCTAGAGGAAGGGTGGGTGATAGTATTGGTCCAATTGGCCAAGACTGGCCAACGGCTCAGCTCTTGTTCTGAGAGGTGGCTTCAGAGATCACCCTGCTGTTGCTCCAGGGAGCAGTTGGGCACCCAGAAGATGACTGCTCCCACTTAGCAGGGGAATACAGCATCAGTTTCTATGGGGTGATAGCTCCTGCTTGGAGGGGTGGAGGGGGCGAACTTGTCAGGGATGATCAGTCTGCTAGGCTTTTTCCAGAGTCCAGATTTAGGGCAATGACCGGAGACTTCTAGGTGCTACTCTGGGGGTCTGGAAGAGAGGACACTCAAACAGTAAAACTTCCCTGTTGTTCTTATCTTGGAGCCCTGAGTCTTGCAGACAAGTTGGGCAAGGGCTCACTTACACTAACCATCCCCGTGTCACTACTGTTTAGACAGACACTCTGAGTGACTAACATGCTGATGGGCAGTTAAGCAGGGGTCTGACCCAAAGTTTTAAGAACAAGGAGACAGACACGAAATGAAAACAGAAAGACCAAATATTATCTTGGTTAATCCCATCTGGCCCCTATAGGCCCAAGTGAAGAGATTTCCCAGATATGTCTAGGTTTGTGTCAAGTTGACAAACCAACCCACACATTCAGACGATTCTCCTACCCAGGACCCTGTCCCTCCACCCTTTGTAATCAGATACCAGCACCAGTGCCACCTCCACAGAGAAGCCTTCCCTGCTCGTCCACACCCTGGTCACATCCATCACATTGTGCCCTCATTTCTCCAGTCTCTCTTGTCCACATCCAGGACCTCCCCTGGGTCCCCTTGCGTGCGCCTCCGGCACTCAGCACCCTGCCTCGTGCGCAGCTGGGACATACTCGGGTGGATGAATCCCAGATGGAAAGGTCACCCTGTGCTAGGGAGGGACTGGTTCCAACCTGGAAACCCAGGAGCACTTAGGAGACCAGCTCAAAGACCTCACAATTCACGGATGCTTGGAAAAGAACTTGTAACGAGAGCTAGCAGGAGGCCCAGAACCACTCCCAGCTACACCCCAGGCTCTCGGACTGTGTCCTGCACACGGCATTTCTAGTAACAGTGGCCACACTCATCAAGCCTCACCTATGGCTCTGTGACTTGGAGACCCTCTCCCCTGGCCTCATCCTTAAATGTCACAGACACTACTAGAGCAATCCCTCCTCCCCACGTCTCTTTCTCTGCCTATCAGCAGTCACTCTTACATGGTGAGGCCCCTCGAGGTCCCTGTCTCCACATCTCTGCTGCTGTGACAGACAGACTGACACTGCCAGGAACGGTGCTCAGCTTCCTGCTTCTGGGTCTGATCTGCTTTCTTTCGCAGCAGGCCGTAAGCCAGGCTGTATTGCTGCTGTGGGTTAGAAGGCAGTGCCTACCAAAAAATTGGCAACCATCTTGACTGGCCTTGTGACAGAATTAATTCATATTTGTTTATTTGTTTGTTTTATATATGGAATCCTCCACAAATTTGCATGTCATCCCTTGTGCAGGGGCCATGCTAATTTTCTATATTTTTTTCCAGTTTTAGCATATGTGTGCTGAAGTGAACAGTCATGTTTGTTTATTTGAGATGGAGGTCTCAATGTTGTCCAGTCTGGCTTCAAAGTTCTGCCTTGGATAATCCCCCTGCCTCAGTGTCCAAAGTAGCTGAAACTACAGTTATATGCCACCATGCTGGGCTCCAAATTGTGATTTTTTTCAATAAAAATTCCTTTTAAACTGGGTGGTGGTGGCACATGCCTTTAGTTCCAGCACTTGGGAGTCAGAGGCAAGAGGATCTCAGTGAGTTCAAGGCAAGCCTGGTCTACAAAAGAGTCTCAGAACAGCTAGGACTACACAGAGAAACCCTGTCTTGAAACCCACCCCCGCAAAATTCTGTTTTAAAAAAGACTATTTATTTATTGAGACTATTTATTATTTATAGGATCTCTCTGTTGTGTAGCACTGGCTGTCCTAGAATTCACCAGGTTGGCCTTGACTTACAGAGCTCCTCTCTAAACTCCTCTGGAGTTCTGGGATTAGAGACACATACCACTATGTCTAGCCAGTTTATTCATTTTTATTTTATGTGTATGATTATTTTGCCTACATTTATGTGTACCACCTGTGTGCAGTACCCACAGAGGCCAGAAGAGGGCATTGGATCCGCTGGAACAGTTGTACACCATCATGTGGTTGCTGGGAATTGAACCCAGGTCCTTTGGAAGAGCACCCAATGCTTTTAACCACTGGAGCCATCTTTCCACTCACCCACCCCAAATTATGAAATTAAACTTGAGACCAAGGCTTTGGGGCCTGAGGATGCCGGATTTACCTTTTGATCCTGTCAAATACTAGTTGGGTCTATAGCAAAATCCCTAACCCTCACCTGCATCACTATTTTCCCTGCTAACTGGGAGTGGTAACTGGTATGTTTCTCCAGGAATACCTGCAAAGCACAGGGTTTAGAAAATGCTGGGATTTCAGGTTATAAAACGGACTCTAATTGACTGACACTTTTTGCCCCAGGTGTGCTGACCTCCCCTGGTAGCCAAGCCTATATCCCTGACCTACACTCAGCCCTGTCCCCACCCCTCTGTCATCAGCTGCTCCTACTGGGAAACTCAGCCCTAGGACTTCCTGCGGGTGGAGACCATCCGATCCCAAGGGAAAAATGTTTAGAAGGTTCCTTAGAGGTAAATAGCTGAGCTGTCTTGGTCCCTGCTACATTCTTGTGACCAGGAAAACAAAAGTAGCTAAGAATACTGTGATACAGAATAACCCTTTGGTTTTGTGTGTGGAGCATGCTGCAGCCTCTGGTAAGGAAGTTCAAGTACTCCACCACCAGGAGGACTGGTCTCTACAGAGAAAGAATGTTACCTCTACTGTCCCAGGCCTTCTATCCAGAGCCCACAAATTAAACTGATGAAATCTCAATCTCTCCCTCCCTCTCCCCTCTCTTTCTCTTCTTTCCACCCTCCCTCTGGTCTCTCAGTATGTGTGTATCTCAGTCTCTACCCTGACCCCTCCTTTGCTCCCACCCACACTATGTAACCCTTAGCCTGGAACTTGCTTTGTAACCAAGACTGGAGATTCACATCCTTGCTCTTCTCTTCTTGGCACAAATTTACAAATTCATGTTGTTGCTCCCCTCCTCCTCCTCTTTTTTGATTTATTTTTCTCCCTCCTTTGTTTGAGTTGCAGCTAGGCTTGAGCTCATAGCAACCCTCCTACCTCAGCCTTCTGAGGGCTGGGATTACAGGCATGAACCACCATGCCTGGATCAAGTTTTCTTTATGATGGGTGATGTCTGACCTGCTTCTCCACACATGCTGTCTGCTATTTCTCTGTTGTCTTTAACTCTAAAGAATCCTGTATCAGTCAGGCATGGTGATGAACACCTTTAATCCCAGCACTCCAGAGGCAGAGGCAGAGGCAGAGGCAGGAGGTTCTCTGAGTTCAAGGCCAGCCTTGTCTGCAGAGACAATTCCAGGACAGCCAGGGCTACACAGGGAATCCCTGTCTTTAAAACAAACAACAATACAAAAAGCAAAAATAATCCTATATCAAAGTAGCATATGGGAGGGAGGGTATTGATCCTCCAGTCTCTCTCTAAAGCCCCTTACATACACAGACACCTCCATGTCTGCCTGAGGACGCGGCTTCACAGTGGGCGCCCAGCGGTGCCTTCCCCCAACACTGTAGTTACAGACTTCATGCCATACTACTTTTGTTTTATATGTATGGGTATTTCATTTGCATGTATGTCCCTGTACCTCATGTGTGCAGTGCCCAAGGAGGGCAGAAGAGGACATCAGATCCCCTGGAACTAGCGTTAGGAATGGTTGTGAGCCACCTGTGGGTGGGTGCTGGGAACTGAACCCTGGTCCTCTACTGGAGCAACAAATCCTCTTAATTGAACCATCTCTCCAGCTCCCGGAAGGAAGTGCTTTTTATTATTACTTTTTTAATTTTTAATTTTTTTATTGAACTATACATTTTTTCCTCACTCTCCTTCCCTCCTCCCCTCTCCCCTTCAACCTCCCCTCTGTCTCCCATGCTCCCAACTTACTCAGGAGATCTTGTCTTTTTCCCTTTCCTAGGTGGATCCATGCATGTCTCTCTTAGGGTCCTTTTTGCTACCTAGATTCTCTGGGGTTGTGGCCTGTAGGATGGTTATCCTTTGCCTTATGTCTAACATTCACTTACCAGTGAGTGCATGTTGTATTTGTCATTCTGGGTCTGGGTTTCCTTCCTCAGGATGGCTTTTTCCAGTTCCAGAGGACGTTTTTAATCTAAGCGTAAGTGGTGTGAGATGGGTGGCAGGTTGTCTGTGTTGGGGCTGATGGCAGGTGGCTGCCCTTCCCACCTGCAGGGCCTCTGTCCTGACCACAGGCAGGAGCTCAGCTCCTGGTGACACGGCTTCTTCCCGTAGAGCTCCCACCACTGTCCTGACACCCTGCTCCAGGCGTGGTTGCCTGAGCTCTCTCTTCTCCATCCCGTCCCCGTCACTCTACATGAAGCGCCCTGCTTGGGGGTGTGAGCAGTCACTCCCCGAGAAACCCTTTTAGATCTGTATCTTTGCTCAGTACGTTCTACTTTGGGTTTGGCACCAACCTTTCCTGATGAAATTCTCGTCAGATGATGAGAATCACTCCAGCTAACACAAGCTCTCCCTGTGAGGCCTGCGAATCCATGTGCTGTCTGTCAATGTGACTGTCGCCCTCCTTTTCCTCTGTGGGTTATTTTTATCTTGTTGGTCCCACTCTGAATGTGTCTTTTATCGTAAATAATTTTTACAGATGTCAAGGGGAAAAATTCACAATGAATTCTAATTAAGGAAGGAGAAACTGTATAGGAAACGAAGTAGGGAAGTCTTCAGCAGGGAAGAGGCTGTTTCCATAGGGCTGAGACTGGACCCGAACTGCATCTGCCAGCATTACCAGGGGCAGATGCTTTTGTAAGGTACATACTTTTGTTAAAAAATATGGGTCACTTGCCAGGCAGCAGTGGTGCATACCTTTAATCCCAGGACTCAAGAGACAGAGGCAGGTGGATCTCTGTCAGTTTGAGGCCAGCCTGGAGTGAGTTCCAGGATAGCTAGGGCTGTTACATAGTGAAACCCTGTCTCAAGGGGTAAAAAAATGGGACACTTAATGAATTCATGTGTCATTCTTGCACAGGGGCCATGCTAATCCACTCTGTATTGTTCCAAGTTTAGTTTGTGTGTTGCTGAAGCAAGCACCCAAGGTTTGTCTTAAGCTGGTTCTGAGAACTAGGATGACAGGCATTTACCACCACACCAGAGGTCATGCATGCCAGGCACCCGCTCTACCAACTGAACTGCATTCCTAGCCTGCTTTTATAGGGTGGAAGTGGCCGTAGGTAGGGTAGGCAGCAGGGTCACAGAACACTTCTTACGACAGTGGAGTAGGCTTGTCTTGCTCAAGAATAATTTGGGGGCAAGTACTTTGTTCCAGGTAGAGTGATAGTTTGAAGTTTGGAAGTACAGAGCCCCTAGGACAAGCTTGCACCCTCTGCAGAGGCAGGACTAGCCTCACTGGAGCTCTGTCCTGCCCAGCTGTCCCATGTTTATGGCCTGAAAAGAGAATATTGCTAGAGAAAGGATCTGGCCCATTCCTAATCTACAAGAGCAGGAGGGTCCCTATTGTGGGGTCTCACCCTGCATCCTCTACAGTTGCCATGGCCTGGCTTTTTGCAACCAGTATTGTGGGTCCCTCTCCCCTGACTGCTGCCTCCCATTTACCCCATGGGAAGTTGACAGGGGTTACCTCATAGCCCCCCAGGAGACCCAGAGGGATTGCTCAGGGCTGTACCCGTGGAAGAAGCAAGTCAGAGGCCCCATGTCCATTTGCTGGCCTGGCTTCACTAGGTAACCACACACTTTGTGCTGTTGCTCTCTCTCCCTTTTCCTCTCTTCGTGCCAAGTCTCCTGTTCCCCTCCATCCTGTCTTTCTGCTGTTACGTGTGCGTGTGCGTGCGTGCGTGCGTGCGTGCGTGCGTGCGTGTGTGTGTGTGTGTGTGTGTGTGTGTGTGTGTGTGTGTGTGTACATATGGAGGCCAAAGGACAAGTTGTGGGAGTTAGTTGGCTTTCTCTTTCCACCATGTGGATCCTGTGATCAAACTCAGGTCATCGGTCTTGGTGGCATCTCTAATCTTCTGAGCCGGTATGCCTCTGGACTTTAAATGACCCTACGCACCTTAAGGACCTCCCACCTGGAGGAGGTACTTTACCAACTTTATTGGCTCTTGGGACCCCTTTAAGCCCCAGAATCTTTGCTGTAGAAATGCAAATCCAACTGGCTCAGGGTGTGGTGTGCAATGCATTTGGGGCTTAGCTGCCACTTCCTCCCCTGGAGGAAACAAAACTTGTGATAACAGTGTGGGTTTGGTGACAGCTATTACTCAGAGACTGAAAGGCTTGTCCCAACACTCCCAGTCAGTCATGTGTGTCTGCTCCCTTCACCCATCTATCCATCCATCCATCTATCCATCCCCTAGAGCCCCTGGGCCACATAAGTGCAAGGAAGAACTGGTCTTCTGCTGCCT